TAAAATATTGATTTTTTTATTTCTTAATAAAAATATTTATTTTTTATTTAAAAATATTAATTTTAATTTATTATTATTTTTATTTAAAAATTTATTTCCACATTAACATAAATTTTTAATGAATCATTAAATAAAAAATTTTAAAAATTAATATTTTTAAATAAACAAATTAAAAATTAACATATTTATTTAAAAATTAATATTCTTATTTTCACCTTCTCTATTAATTTTTTTTTAATATAGAAATAACTTTGAAAAATGAAAAATAAAACGCTGCGTTTTACAGCTTTAGTATTAGTATGGTGGGTATAAAATAAAATTCAAAACGGTCCTAAACGCCATCCTGAATCCACCCTTTCAGCTTAATCGGAGTCGGAGAAGGCCAAGCGAGAATTGCAGTCTAAGGTGAGTCGCACTGATTTTGTTGATTTTCCACACTTTTCTCGGCATCCAAACAGTCCCAAATTGTTTCAATTTCGCACTAACTTTGTCTTTTGAACCTGTATGGAGCTGTACTCAGTGGCGTTCATATTGCCCTCCAATTGTTCGACGAAATTCTTCACTTAATCAGGGCTTTGCATTATCAAGAAAAGCAAGTTTTGCAATTCTTGAATAATTCGAACAAAAATTTCAGCTTTCTGTATTTGGTACAGTAGCTGAGTGGAATGTTTCAATACTGTGAATTGCTTTTTTTGGTTTATATTATAGTCATCATAAATGTGGCTTTCATACTCTTTTAATTTTTGCAAGATATCGAGCTGTCTTTTAGAGTTTGATATTTGCACCAATATAGCCCTTACCCATGATTTTGTTGTTATGCAGTGAAAAGGGCAGTAGGGACAGCTTTCGTCAGTTTGAATGCAAATGCTTTGGGCAATCCTTGCTCTTCAAATAATACTTCACTGATCTACTCTAAAATCTAAAGAGGGATTTACATTTATTGGTCAACAATAATCTAACGGGGATGCTAGGGCTGTACTCAACAAGGTTGCTTCTTTTTGGAGATTCATTACCTTTCCACAGATTATCAGGTTGTAGGAAGGCGTGGTGCCAAACAAATTTACGTTTTCTCAGTTGGGTTGGTTGTGATGATGGCCCTCTAACTCTTGCTAGCCTCGGTTTCAAGAGTGAGTTTGACAAAACAAAAAAGGACAGGGCAAGTAATCTTGAGACGCTGAGTGCCTCAAAAAGTAAAGTGAAGGTAGTTGGAAGCAGTGAAACCAAGGGCATTGGGGCAAAAAAGTTGGTTGAAATAGAGTCAGCACCGTTTGCTGCAAAATCATTTTCTGAGCTTGATCTTCCATCTCTACTGTTGGGGAGGTTAGAAAGTGAAGGCTTCACAGTCCCAACTGATGTGCAATCTGCAGCAGTTCCCACAATTCTCAAGGGCCATGATGTTGTGATTCAGTCTTATACAGGATCAGGGAAAACATTGGCATATCTTCTCCCCATACTTTCTGAAGTAGGCCCACTGAGAAACAAGTATCCTGATGGTGAGGGTGATTCTGGGAAGAAAAGAGAGATTGAAGCAGTTATTGTGGCTCCCTCTAGGGAGCTTGGAATGCAAATTGTTAGGGAGGTTGAGAAGCTCCTGGGGACTACAGACAAGAAAGCAGTTCAGCAACTTGTAGGGGGTGCAAACAAAATGAGGCAGGAAGAAGCTTTAAAGAAAAACAAGCCCGCAATTGTTGTTGGCACCCCTGGCAGGATTGCAGAGATCAGTGCAGCTGGAAAGCTTCACACCCATGGTTGTCGATTCCTGGTTTTAGATGAAGTTGATGAGCTTCTTTCATTTAACTTCCGGGAGGACATGCACAGGATATTGGAGCACGTGGGAAGGAGATCAGGTGCAGATCCACGTGGGACTAAGAGCCCACTTGCCAGGCGGGCTGAGCGTCAAACTATTTTGGTCTCAGCAACAGTTCCATTTTCAGTTATAAGGGCAGCTAGAAGCTGGGGGCGTGACCCACTTCTTGTTCAAGCCAACAAGGTCCTGCCACTTGAATCCCTTCCTACCACTGGACATGTCAAACTGTTGGGGCCTGCATCCAGTTCAAGCTCAAATTCTAGTATGCAGGTTCAGTCTACAGCACAAAGCCTGCCTCCATCCTTGAAACACTACTATTGTGTCACCAAATTACAACACAAGGTTGACACATTGAGAAGAAGTATCCACGCACTTGATGCTAAGTCAGTGATAGCTTTCATGAATCACACAAAACAGCTGAAAGATGCTGTCTTCAAGCTAGAGGCTCGTGGTATGAAAGCTGCTGAGCTGCATGGTGATCTTGGCAAGCTTGCCAGGTCGACAGTTTTGAAAAAATTCAAGAATGGGGAAGTGAGAGTTCTGGTAACCAACGAACTGTCAGCAAGGGGTTTGGATGTGGCAGAATGTGATCTGGTGGTGAATCTGGACTTACCCACTGACTCAATTCATTATGCTCATCGTGCTGGCCGAACAGGTAGGCTTGGGAGGAAGGGGACTGTGGTAACCATATGTGAGGAGCCAGAAGTGTTTGTTGTGAAGAAGCTGCAGAAGCAACTTGGGTTCCCCATTCAAGCTTGTGAGTTTACAGAGGGTAAACTTGTTGTCAATGAGGAAGAGAGGCATTTAGAGAATGTAAGCTGATTATAGAAACAACCAAGAACATTTTCATAGCTTTCTACTTTTCTTGGGTTGGGAGATGCATAAAAGGTTTGTTTAGGGACTAGATGATTTCTGTATCGACTTCCCCTTGGAACTTGCACTTTTCTTCCTTGGAAGCTTAGTATATGTTAATTCCCATATTGAGTTTGATGGTTTTTTTTTTTCTAAGTGCTGGAACTTGATGGGTTTTTCCAAAGTACAATCATATATTCCGAAACAAGATAGAAGGTACAGGAACATGACACATTACAACTCCAAAACTAGTTACTTTAGAGTTGCATGAAATTCCATATATACCATTTAAACGCACACACAGAGTCGATGTGGGACAAATGCCCCACAATCGGGGAGGGAACCCACTTAAGGGGGTTAATTTTTTTAAAACAAGGTAAAAGGTACAGGGATAGGACACATCACAACCCCAAAACCAGTTACTTTGGAGTTGCATGGAAGTACAATCATATATTGATCTTATGTTTATAGCTACAATCATTTAGTAAATGGAACTTAGGTCTTACAATGATAGTGATCACAAGATGTCATCTATTAGCATAGCTGTTTCACAGTATATAGACATGAATACAACATTTTTATACCAGCAATTCATGAGGTGTCACCAGATGATTCTCTTGCAGAGCTTGTAGCCAGATAACAGAGCACATGTAGCCATAACAAGGAAAGTTGCAAAGGACATGCTAGTTGATATGATAGTTCCTTTCCATAGTGCTGGAGTTATTTCCAGCCGCCGAACCACTGTAATTGCTATTGAAGAAGATGAGACAAGAAGGTAACCCACCACCTGTTGCATTTCCGCTCATGAATTAGCCATCACAGAACCATTATTAGGTATTTTCCACTCACACAGAAAAAAGACACGAGGGCTGCACTTGCCTGGTCAAGGATGAAACTAAGGTAGTCAGAGACCTTATCTGAGATGAGCATGCCTCTATGTGCAATATCACAGATACCTTTAAACAGTTGGAAAGCTGAGTAACTGAAGGCCAACAAGGCCACAATGAAGCAGTACCTGCAAGAAGACAATTGAAATATCATGACATTTATCTGTTATTTTAGGATTCTAATCCCTCTCTTTCTATGAGATCTACTTGTATTCTTTTCCTTCTCTAACACAGTTGACTTACAATAGTTCAGGGTACTTGGTGAAGCTAGATGAATTTTCGCCTTTCTTCCCTGGTGATGCAGCAGCCAGTGAAAGAGCTGAGACAAAGGAGAAGAGAAGCCCCAAAAAACTGAGACAGAGAATTGAAAGATGAATGGAAGGTCTGGTGTTCCACCGGGACCTCGTGGAGGCGACAGAGAAAGAGAACGGTGATGGGGTTGGAAATGGATGCTGAGCCTGCGAATTAACTGCCACAGGCGAAACACCAGCCATGGCTCTACAAGCAATCAGTATCACATCTCTTTCTTCTTTCGCTGATTCCTTCACCTGCTCCATATCTCGTTAGTTGAAAGATTCACGGTCTTGCTTCCTGTACAGAAGTTGGCCCCCCTGCTACACTGAACCTTGATTTTTTTTTTTTGAGTTTGGTTCTTGATATTGTTGAAGTCTTCATGGACTTACAAAAGGCATCTTCTTGGTAACTGGATAGCAATTCGCCCAAGTTGCAAGAAACTACAGCACTGTGACGTTTGTTTCTTGAATGAGTTTTATTCCATATGCAAGTCTATGAATATGATCTTCTTCTTTTTATTTTTTATTTTTTATCTTGAAGATGATTAGGATGTTAGACATTGGATGGCCTTATCCTATATTAGTCATAATTAAATAACGTTAGTGGGATTATTATGACTTGATCACAATTAAACTAGTCAAATTAAATGAAGGGGCAGGTAGCAGAAAGAGATATGGGTCGTCAACTCTTTATGGTCAAGTTTTAATCTTATCTTCATGGTTTCAGAAATGATAAAATATGTCCCACTTGCCTTGCCTTTATTCAAGATTTAATTATAAAATCATAAAGAACGGAAAATTCAGCACTTTCCTTGTAGCACATTGGAACATGCTGAGACAATGAAGGTGAGATGAGAGTGTATTCTAATCAAGAGAAAAAAATAAGTACTTTTAAATGATTTATTAATGAAATAGTTGGTACAATTAAGAAATGTTATTTGAACCCTTTGTGAAACTGAGTTAAAAGAGTTTCCATGGTTTATTCATAAAAAGCAAGGATCATTGGGGCTTTCGGTATCCCCATGGATTGTTGCTTGCCCACTTCCATTGGTCCCTGCACATCTCTTCTACGCCATATTTTGCCCTGCAAAAGTTATAAACAAGGGTGAAAGGAACGCTATGGCAGGTTATTGTCAAATTAATAGGAAACAGGAAAAACATACTTCCAGCCAAGTTCTTTTGCAGCTTTATCTGTGGAGGCATAGACAGCTGTAGCATCTCCTGGTCTTCTTGGGCATAGTTTGATGGGGATTTTCTGCAATATGTTTACCAGGGGCGCTTTAGAAATATGATGACCCTTTAAGATTTGGAAAAGAGATATAGGGAGAGAGTAGGTGCCTGACCTTGCCAGAAGCCTTCTCAAATGCAGCAACCATTTCGAGGACAGAGGTGCCCTGACCAGTCCCCAAATTGTAGGCAACACAACCTAGAAAAGGAGACAATTTGTTAACATAAACAAATCTCCCAAATTATAGAAAAGTGACCTTAAGTTAATTAACATGTCTAATTGCTAAAGGAAACATCAATCACCTATGTCCTCAGTTGTAAAAAGCTTCCTAAGAGCAGCAATATGACCATCAGCCAAGTCCATAACATGGATATAATCTCGGATCTGCTCATAAAATGGTGAAATGTCAGGGGAACAATCATTTTAAAATCTGCTCTTAGAGGAGTTGTCTGACATGCACCATATGTAATGGAGAAGGCAATATCCACGTCAAACAACCCATAAAATTTCTTATCACAAGTTTTTTATCTTTTTCTTTACAAGGGACCATTAGAAAATGTTACATACTGCGCTGCCGTCTTTTGTCGGATAGTCATAGCCATACACGTTAAGTTCAGGCAATCTGCCCACAGCCACTTGCTGTATGTAAGGCATGAGGTTGTTGGGGATTCCTTTTGGATCTTCACCAATTTTACCACTTTCATGAGCCCCAACAGGATTGAAGTACCTCAGTAAAATAATTCTCCATTCTGGTTCTGCCTTCTGAATATCTCTAGCAATTTCTTCAAGGAAAAGCTGGCAAAATGCAGGGGGAGAAAAGGTTATAGTCGGAATACAAACTATAGCAATTACAATTACAATTACAATTACAGGGGCTTTGTCCAACTTAATGCAGGGATTTTATGATTGTCATGCACTTAAAAAAGGAAACCCTATCATGTACCTTGGTTCTTCCATAAGGATTCATAGCCCTTAACTCGAAATCCTCAACACATGGTATTTTTTCAGGTTGGCCATAAACTGTTGCTGAGGATGAGAACACCATCTATTCTCCCCCATAAAGAAGAACAAGACGCACCTTGTGTTAATAATGGTTAAACATGATAAGGTGTAAAGCTCAATAAATTTCAAGTCAGGAGATTAATGTGCATAATAAACCTATGAAAATCAAAGTAATTCATTGTAAGACATTTGCTGTACCTTTTTACAGTTATATTTTGCCATGACCTCATACAGATTGATAGTACCAACCAAATTATTGTCAAAATAACGACGTGGAAAAGCAACACTCTCTCCAACAGCCTTAAGGCCAGCAAAATGGATAACGGCATCAAACCTGTACAATTTTTAAAGCCCCAGCAACCAAATTGGCAACATCAGTGTCAAAGTTATGTCAACAAACCATCAAAAAGTTTATAGAGAACACAAAAATAATTGTCACAGAATCCATTTAGGTAGAAACATTTTCAGATGAATTCCACATTTAACTCAACAGCAAACAAATACAGAAAAGCAAAATGGCTATATCACAGCTACCCAATTCTGTAAATAATGCAGATCACCTCAACTAGTAGCACAATTGAAGAACATTCAAAACATTAATTAGATATGACATTAACATACTTTGTTTTAGAGAAAAGCTTCTCCAAATCCTCCTTATTCCTCAGATCACCCTGCATTCAAACCAAAACCCATAAGATAAAATTCTAAATCATGGGTTTAAAACCCAAGAAATAAAACCCAAAAAAATTCAACCCCAAAATAATAAAAATTAAAAATTTCACCTCCAGATGAAAGATCTAATTAATGGGAGTACCTTGACGAACTCGAGTTTCTGAGAAAGCTGAGGACCCACCAAATCCCTGACCCTATCGACGGCTTCAACGACGGAATTATCAAGATTGTCAATGATTGAGACCTTGAAACCCTCATTGAGAAGCTGGACGACGGTGTGGGTGCCTATGAACCCAGCTCCACCGGTAACCAGAATGGTTTGCTCTTCCGGCGACGCCATTTCAAACCCAGAAATCAGACCTCAAAGTTTCAAAATTTGGAACTCCAAGGAGAGGAGTAATTTGGTGATACAAAAAAAAACTAAAAAACAAAAAAAGCAACAGTGTTGGATGTACTATGGATATGGATATACCAAATATGGAAGTATACGAAGAGGGGTTTGAGAAAAACAAGGAGAAAATCTTGGGAAGTGGATAAGGACATGAATAACTACATTATTATGAAGAGATTGTGATTCAGTTTATTACGAAATCTTTTTTTTTTTTTTTTTTTTTTTGCGCGCTTTATTTATTGCCTGTGTTCTAGCTTTCCTTTACTTTCCCTTCCCATCTCATGGGGATAACCAATTTGTTGGGAGCAACAAACCGGACCCCCTTTTATTTATTTTGTTTTATTTACTTTTACTTAACCAATCAGTTATGAAGTTTAAAAATATTATTTAGGTTGGGTTAAAATAATTGTAATTTTTTAAATGTTTTAAATTAATTATTTTTTAATTTTTTTAAATAGATAAATATTTTTTAAATTTGACTCTATCATTATTAATTTATTTTAATTAATTATCTTATTAAAAATGTCTTTATCTTTGAATTTTTTTAAAATAATATA